GGTGGGGATAATGGCCATACTGTGTTGGTTAGGACTAGGTTCTGCTATAAGTATAAAAAAACTCCAAATAATAGGGCTTCGATCACATAGAAGTGTTTTTTTCTTTTTTTTATAAATTTATTTTATTTATTTATTTTTGGCTGTGTTGGGTCTTCGTTGCTGCGCGCGGGCTTTCTCTAGTTGTGGTGAGCAGGGGCTACTCTTCGTTGCGGTGCGCAGGCTTCTCATTGTGGTGGCTTCTCTTGTTGCAGAGCACGGGCTCGAGGCGCATGGGCTTCAGTAGTGATGGCACGTATGCTCAGTAGTTGTGGCTCGCGGGCTCTAGGGCAGAGGCTCAGTAGTTGTGGCGCACGGGCTTAGTTGCTCCGCAGCATGTGGGACCTTCCGGGACCAGGGATCGAACCCGTGTCCCCTGCATTGGCAGGCGGACTCTTAACCACTGCACCACCAGAGAAGCCCGATTACATAGAATTTTATTTCTCTTCTTGTGGACAGGAGGTCTAGCTGTCATGTGGTGCCCCCAAGTGTCAGGGACCAAGCTGGGTCCAGCTCACGCCCCCACAACAGCCCTGGGGGTCGTATGCCAGGAAGGGAGGTAAAGAAGGGCACACATCTGTCTCTTAAGGGCAAAACTGATACCCACTGGGTCACGCCTATTGGCAAGGAGGCTGAGAAGTGTAGACTTTACTCTGGGGCTAGAGGCTGGCAATGAGGAGTCTGCCACGTGTGGCCCTGGAAGGTACCTCCACAGTGCCTGGTGCAGGAGTGCTCAACAAGCACCAGGCGCTGTTCACATCCAGACATGCCTCTCCTTCACAGATGAGGAAACCGAGTCCCAGAGAGGGAGCAGGGGTCGTTCAAGGTCACTCACCTACACGATGAGTGTGGCCCCCTGACTCCCAGGCCTGCTCCTTTGCCGCGGAGAAGGCCTCCCCCAGCACGGTGCCTCCCTCTGCATCTCCACATTCCTGGCCTTTCAGACCAGAAGAGTCTAGAAGGCTCACTGCAAAGAGGCAAGTGTATGTAGACCTATTATTTACTAGTCTCTCCAGTGTAACTGCATCCTTGCTGCAGTGAAATCAGAGCAAAGCACCAACACTGAGACCTCTCGGATCAACTCAGTCACCCAAACTGGGGGACTGGACCTCTCAGCCTGCTGGGAGAGGGCCTGGACCAGAGGGTGGGCGAGGTGGGCTATGGGGAGAGTGACAGCCATCAGACCCTGTCAGCTAATTCTCCGGACAGGCAACATCTTCTGGAGAAGCAGACGGATCGCAGATTTCTCATGCCAGGGCAGAACTGATAAAAGAGGCTCTCTCTAACTTTATCAGTGGTGTCAAAATGGCTAAAGAAAGAATGTGAGCCCTGCCTCTGAGATGGGGTGGAGGCAGAGCAGGGACTGGGGCCCGGGCTGGGGGTTGCACAGTCTCAGGATAAAATTAGAAAATACAGCGAACAGGGGCCTGGATCCACCCTGACCATGCGCTGCACACCTGGCCAGACCGGTGAGGCCACTCTGTCCCCACGCTCCCATCCCCCACCTCCCACCCCCTCCAGCGAGGCTGAGGCTCCGGTGGGATGGAGCTTCAGGCGAAGCTAGGGTGATAATTCAAAAAACATCTCCTGCCAACACAGAAAACCTCTCCACCAAAGTCACAAGAAAGAAGACAGATGCATTACTGAATAAGCACGAAGCCAGGACTCTGTGCTCATCACAGAGATGGCAGAGCAGGAAGCAGTCTTGCCCCTTTCATGCCAGTTCAACCCATCTGTCCTCATCCTCAAGAGAAACAGAAACCAGTCCTGAGTGAGAGGCCTGGCAGCACTGTCTGTCACACAGCTCACCCGCCGCCCACCCCGCCCTGCCCCACTGGGACTGAGGGGGCCACCTGCATTTGCTAACTGCCTTTATCTGGAGGAAGAGCAAACTTCTCATCTCTTTACAACTGGAAGCAGGCTTGCAAGCCGGGCCATGGAAATCAGGCTCCTACCACACAGGGCATCTGGGCGAGGCGGGTGCAACCTCTCTCCAGAGAGGTGCCCCCAGGTTCTTGGGAGATGGTCCAGTGTTGTCAAACTGGCAAGAGGCTGATTTAGCTTTTAAACAGATTTACACACACACACACACATACACACACAGAAAGAACTTACAAGTTTTCTAAAGGAAATGCTCTAAGGAAGGGGAGGAGAGTGTTTACTTTCTTTGCATCAGCGAGTATTAACTTTTTCTCATTTTTAATTTGTATTTCCCTTTGCAGCCATCTCTGCTTGCACCACTCAAAGCCCAAGGGACTCAGCAGCACAGCGGGTTGGCCCTGGCTCAAGGCCCTCCTGCGGGTCTTACTGAGGACAACAGCCTGAGAGACAGCTGCTCCGCGAGCTCCTTGGAACTGCTCTGAAGAGGAAGGCGAGAAGCCAGTTTATATACGATTTTTTTGGCTAGGAAATACATGTAGTCAAGCATACATCTTGGTAAAAGATTACTCCTAGTCACAAAGGACAAAGGATTTGTGACTCCTAGTCACAAATCAAGTTAATGATTCTAGTACTTTTCAATGTATGGAAAGATGCAGGAATCTGGGGTTATTGGAATCCTTCCTGAGATATGCATCTAACTATCTAGGGGCGGGTTATCCAAAGCACAGAATGCTTCCTCCTGTCTTCCATCCAGATGGTGGGCGGCCGCAGTGGGCTGTGACTTGTAGAACTGGGTGGTGAACGACGCTTTTTGTTCTTTGTTCACACACCTATGATCTTTTTGGTCTGTTTCAGAGTCTTTCACAACTTTTCCTTGAAGGCTTGAATTATAAAATCATCCCTTACTTTTTTTTAATTAATTAATTTTTGAACTTTATTTTTTTAATATTTGGAGCTTTTTATCAGTCATTTTTCTACAGTTATCATGGTTTATTTTATTTCATTTATTTATTTTTGACTGCATTGGGTCTTTGTTGCTGCGCCAGGATTTCTCGAGTTGCGGCGAGCAAGGGCTACTCTCCCTTGTAGTGTGCAGGCTTCTCATTGCGGTGGCCTCTCTTGTTGTGGAACATGAGCTCTAGCTGTGCGGGCTTCAGTAGCTGTGGCGCTCAGGCTCAGTAGCTGTGGCACACGGGCTTAGTTGCTCCGTGGCATGTGGGATCTTCCTGGACCAGGGCGCAAACCCGTGTCCCCTGCATTGGCAGGTGGATTCCTAACCACTGTCCCCCCAGGGAAGCCCCATCCCTTACTTCTTGACATCAGTTTGTTGAACAAGCAGAACTCATGAGCTAGAATCATAACACCTGCTTGATGCTGACTTTTGTTTTTGCTGTGTGTGTGTGTGTGTGTGTGTGTGCGCGCACGCGCGTGCTGTGAGGCTTGCAGGATCTCAGTCCCCTGACCAGGACTGAACCCGGGCCCCAGCAGTGAAAGCACCAAGTCCTAAACACTGGACCGCCAGGGAATTCCCAACACCTGCTTGATCCTGTTCACCCATCTTCCCGGCAAGCATGCTGTGGGGGGGGTAGGGGGCAGAGTCGGGGAGGCTGCCTGCTCTCTGGATGAAGACTCAGGCAGCGCCATGACGTTTGTGATCACAAATAAGTAATAGAAAGCACCATGATAACTTTAAATCTCAATTTGCAATGCAGTAATTAAAATTGCCAAGTCCCAGGTAAACATCCAAACTGAACACCTCTCGGGTGAAATGCCTTTCCTCTTGCTTGCCTTCTGGAGGGAATGTGGTCAGTTCCTCCTTTCTCCCTCACCTCCTCCCGCCTCCCCAGCTGGGGGATTGCAGCAGGGCCTGGAGGGAGGGGGTGGGTGGTGGGGTGCGGGGGAGGCAGAGAGCTCTTACTCAGCGTTGCTGGTTCCTGTCCAGAGAAGGACTTCCTGTGTTCTGGGTCTTGCCCAGGTTCAAGCTGTCTCTCTCCCCACTGCCTCTTCCTCCCCCTCCCTGCCGTGGGTGCTCTGGAGGTTGCCCTGCTCCCCCTCCCATTCCCAGGATGAGGCTGGGTGCCCCCCAGCTCCTGGTTTCTGTAGGTGAGGTGGGGAACGGGACACTAGCAATGCCCTCCAGAGACACCCTCTCCCTCTCTCTGGCAGCCTGATCCTTTCACCCCCAAGGCATGAGGCCAATTCCGGAGTATTTCCTTTGGAAGTCTGCGTGTACTCCAGCCCCTCCTTTGGTGACAAGGCACCTCACCTGTTGTGTTTTCAAATGGGTCCCTCGGTGCCTTTCACACAGGGCCCAGCACACCACACGCGCGTGCAGAGAGGCCCACCTGAGCCCGTGTGCAGAGATGGGGTCCCAGGAGGGCAGAGTCCCTGGGCCATTGGCAGATGTTTGCTGAGCAGAGGCCCATCGCGTGGCTCGATCCGGGCCTGGTGGAGATGGGCATAAAGCTCTGGGTTTCCTCTCCTAGAGGAGTGGCCCTGGGCACCCTCGCAGGCCTCGGCGTCCTCATCTGTAAGCCGGGCACATCCCGGTTCATATGTCACGGGACGGTGTGGGGTGAACGGAGGGGGCCGGTGAGGGCCGGGCTGGTTCTTACAGCAGTCCCTGTGGAGCCCCACCCCATCTGTCACAGACAGGCCACCACTGTGGGTCTAATTCGGAAATAGCGTTTATTGAGGTGTCCCCACAGGCCGGCCCTGAGTCCCAGCCGCTAGCGCCTCGGGCTCACTCTTCCTTCTCGTCCCCATGGGTGATGATGTAGCACAGGGACTTGTAGTCGATGTTCCCGGCCAGGTCCATAGGCGTCAGGGCGAACATCTGCTCCACCTGGGGAGGCACTGGTCAGACGCCGCCCAGCCAGGGCGTCCTGGGGGCCGGTGCCTGTGACCCGAGGGAGGCCTGAGACCCTTCGCCCCGCCCCTGGGGCTGTACGCTGCCCCTTAGCGTTTTCAGCCGGAGGCTGGGGCAGGAGCGAAGGGTGCCGTGGGTCTCAGGGCCCACCCTGGCCACGGGCCCGGCCCCCTCCCCCTCCCCCTCCCCTCCCCAGTGTAGGAAACCTCTTCCAGATCCGGAGGTGCACCGCACTCTCACGCCTGGGCCTCTGCACACACAGCTCACCCAGCCTGCACCCTCCTCCTTTTCTGATTCCATGTCCTTCACCCTCCAGATCCCAAGAGAGATGGCACCTCCTCCGGAAAGCTGGGCTCTACGCCCACGAGGGCAGTGGGTCACCGAGACCTCCCCAGGGCCCTGCGGGGTGGGGGCCCTGCGAAGGGGCCTGGAGGGGTGTCGAAGGAGCCGGAATCTTCACCTCGGCCAGAGAGAACTTGTCTGCCTGGGTCAGGAGAAGCTGCTTGAACCTGGAGGAGGTGGGGAGCAGTGGGGAGGGCCTTGCAGGGGCGGCCGATCCGGGAGGGGAAAATGGAGGCTCCCCTGGCCCAGGTGGCCACCCCCTCCAAAAGCAGAGAGGGCCCCAAAGTACAGGTGGCCACCCTCACAAGGCGACCCTCCGCCCTCCCTGCTTCCATCCAACATGGTGCCCCCGGCACTCGCCCTGCTGCTTCCACTTACTCGTCCCTGTTTACCACGCCCTTGCCACTGGGATCAAACAGGCGGAAGGCGCTCAGGATGGCTTCCTCGGGGTCTGTCCCTGGGAGGCCGAGGGGGCCAGGTAAGCAGCCACACTGCCATCCTCCCGGTCCCACCCAGGAGGAACCCAGGGTGCAGGGGGAGTCCTCCAGTCCCAGAGAAGCGAGAGGGTGTTCCGACAGAAAGTGCCCCTCGGGGCTCAGAGGCACCAGGATTGGCTGTCCTTCTGAGATGGGTGAGCCTGGCAGGGAGACTAGGATTGGGGATTTGGGACTGGAATCTGAAGGCATATTTCCCAACCCCGAGACTTGGGGTGCTCAGTGCTCATGGGTCTGGAATGCAGAGGTGGCCCCTACAACCTCTGGGTGGGCGAGGGCCAGGTACGGTATGGAAGGGGTCTGGGTGGGATTCAGGCCGGGTCCAGGCAGGGTCCAGGTGGGGTTCAAGCTCGCTGCCTGGCCAGGGGGATCCAGAGCCGCCCCAGGCTCACCGTTGAGCTTCTCTCCAAAGAGTGTGAGGAAGACAGTGAAGTTGATGGGCCCCTTCCCTTCCTGCAGCATGGCATCCAGCTCCTCTTCTGGGACATTCACCTTCCCTGGTGGGGCGGGACGCGAAATGGACACAGGGACCTTGAGTGTCCCCACGTAGGGCCTGGGCTGCCCCTCCCTCCTTCCCAGGGTAGAGAGTGAGAGGCAGCTCTGGGTGGGGGAGGTGAAGTGGAAGGAAAGTGTGATGGGGGAGGGGTATGATGGGGGAGGGGTGTGAGAGGAGCGGGGAGGGGAGCCAGGCCGGGGCGCTGCCTGTTGAGAGCCTGCCCATCCCCTCTCAGCGGGCTCCCCCCCGGCCAGCAGCTCTGAGCCGGGACCCTGGTGCCAGCAGGGCCGGGCCGGGCGGGAGGTGGGCGCCCTCACCTAGCTGCGAGTAGGTCTCTCGAAGGTCCGACTTGCCGATGACGCCGTCACGATTCTGGTCGATGCAGCTGAAGGCCTGTGAGGTGCAGGCGATAGTCTCCAGGTGGGAGCAGTCCCCACCCGGGGGAGGCGGGAGGTGGGGGCATCCTGGGTGGTGGGAGGAGCAAGGACAGGGGCCAGGACCACTGACCTACAGAGAAGAGGGGTGTGCTGGGGGCAGGGTGTCCGGATGGGTCCCAGGTTGTTGGGGGTAGGGCACTCACTTCCTTGAACTCCTGGATCTGGGCTTGCTCAAACATGGAAAAGACGTTGGAAGAGCCTCGCTGGGCCTGCTTGGTGGCCGCAGCCTTGCCCCGGGTCCCTGCCTTCCTGCTGGCCTGCAACACAGTGGGAGCGGAGGGGTCCTCTCCCCAGCTCCCCGAGGACTCCCTGCCACGGACCTCCCCAGAGCATTCCCGGGAGAGCCCGGGTCAGGGTCCTCTTCCTGTCCCTGGAGACCGTCTCTCCGGGCCCAACACAAGCACAGAAGTCACTGGCTCCTCTCCCCCAGCCCAAAGGACAGCACCTGGGGGGCCGCTGGCCTTGAGTCCCCCCCACCTGGCACTCACCATCGTCTCTCTCTGCAGCAGCCTGGTTGCTGCGAGGGGCCCACAGCCCCCTTTATGTCTCAGCCTTATCACCTGGAGCGCACCAAATAAGGACAGGAGGAGAGGATAGGCCCAAACTTGGCAGCCTCTGCCTGGGCTGGGGGAGGACAGGGCCCCCCGAGCAGATTCCAGCCACGTTCCTGGCGACCTTCAGGCCCCCCCCACCCCCGCCCTGTGACATCCGGGTGTCTACCCACCCTGACAGCACCGGGTGAAACGCCTCCTGACGGCAGAGTCGCAACTCTCACCACTCTCATGCTGAACGAGGGGCCCCTGTAACCCCACCTGACTGTCCTTCCTGCAGTTCCAGCCCAGAGCCCACTCAGGCCAAGAGGACAGCAGTGGTGCGGGGATGGCCCGGGGCCCCCGCTGGGCTTGGGAGGGCAGTTGGTGGTTCTGAGGATGGTCTCTGGCCTGAGACCCCTGGGGATTCCCAGAGGTTTTGCTAAAGATGCTTGGCCCTGGCCTCTGGCCCCTCTGACCAAGGGGCAGAAGCCAGCCCTGAGCTGGCTGTGACCCCAAACAGAGCCTCCATGTGATGCTTTTGGAGCACGGAGCACTGCCTGGACCCCAAGCATCCCCTGGGATCCCCATGAAAGTGGGTCACGAGCCCTTCTTGTGGGGCTCAACCGCAGAGTGAGGGGCCCAGGCTCCGTCTGCTGTGCCAGAGCAGCAGCCTCGAGGATCCTTGCAGGCCCGGGGCAGACGGGGTGGGGGGACTGCCCAGAGCAGGAGTGGGCTGCTGGCTGCTCCCTGAACCCGGTACGGGAGACGGCCCACTGGGGTGAGGAATGCGGGGAGGCCAGCTGGGAGAGCAGGGTTCTCATCCATCAGCCCCAATGTCCCTTTTGTATAGCAAGTAAGTATTTTATAACACCTCCTTTACTCTCCTGAAATGAAATTCATAGGCTCTACAAGCTACCTTCATGGAGAATTGTAAAAAAAAAAAAAAAATACAATGCCTTGAACCATAACATAAAGGACAACTAGGAAATAATTTATGGTAAAATGAGATCAAATACTGCAGCTGAATGGTGGGACACGAGGACATTACTCCGGATAATGAAGCCGTCAGATGCTCACACACACTTCTGATGCATAATTTAGACTCGAGAGAACTAAATTCCACACGACGCATACCAGAAAACGAGAGAGCATCTCAGGGAGGATGTGACAGCTCAAAATCACAACTTGGCGTTAAGTTCTGAATAAAACAACACAGTCATTCCAGATTCGCTGGATAGTTTCTCTCATTGAAAAGTGAGTGGAATACACCCTACCATATACAAAATAGATAATCAACAAGGACCTACTGTATGGCACAAGGAACTCTACTCAGTACTCTGTAATAACCTATATGGGAAAAGAATCTGAAAAAGAATGGATATACGTATAACTGAATCACTTTGCTGTACACCTGAAACTAACACAACGTTGTAAATCAACTATAGTCCAATATAAAATAAAAGTTAAATTTAAAAAAAGATGATAACATCCAAAAACCTGAAAAACAAGTGCGTGTATGTTAAAATCTTACGAATACGTGTTCATAAGTAACTGGTCTTAGGCCCTAGGCTTGGCTAACTTGAAGTAGGCATTTCATTCAGGACCAAATTGGAAGGACCGCAGAAATCATGTGACTTCTTGTAATCCTGGCCTCCCACTGCAGTCACTGTCACAACCCAAGTGGCTCCAAGGGATCCCCTGTTGAGACCGACCTGCAGCAGGACCAGTCCCAAGAACCAGCCATCCCCCTTCCCAGAGCAGCCCCACTCCTTCCCTGACACTCCCTTGGAGTTCTTGGAGACCTCAGAACCACACCCCGCATCCCACAGGCTGGTGGGCAGAGGCCTGGGCAAGTCCAGGACCTCTGACCACACCCCGCCACACCACCCCATTCCTGTTCCTAAGGCCTGGTCTGTCACTCTTCACACTCCCTGGCATAGCTCTGTGGAGAGGATGGCAAACTCCAAAACACGCCTAGGCCTGCAGAGTGTCTGTGTACACGTGACCACGTCTATATGTTTATTGTCACACAGTCTTATACACAGAGATCAAAGAATGGTGGACAAGGTCATGTTCTAAACTTTTAAAACTTTTAATTAAAAAAACCCACACAGTCCCAGGTTGGGCATGGAGAGGTTGGTGTGGTACATGGAGGTCTGGTGAGAAGGAAGAGGCCTGGGTTGTCCCTTGGGGGTGTGCTGAGTGCTGCTGGGGTTTCTGAGTGCCCAGCGCCGTGGGAGCCAAGGACTCGATCCCGGAGATGCTGCCAGGCCTGTCTGTGGGTAGGGGGACTCCTCCTCTTCCTGGGCCCCTCTGGGCAGGGGCTTTGGGGACTCTGTCTCTTGTACCTCCTGTGAGGGTCCATCCCAGAACCAGAAACCACTCAGGGATGGCAGGATGGGAGGGAAAAGGCTGCCATCTCCAGGCCTCGGGGTACCCACAGCCTCCAACATGGAGCTGGTCCCTTCCATTTCCCAGGCCTGGGTGATCTGCAGCTCCCCGGGGCCCCCTGTGGAGCCCAGGTCTAGGTCTGGCCAGGTCATGAGGGCTGCCTCCCTATGTGGGCTGGGTTCCCAGGGAAGCCAGGCCATAGTAGAGTCCAGAGGGCACCCCCTTCCCAGAGCAAGGGCTGAGCCAGGCTGAAAGCTCCAAGAGGCAAGCAGTGCAGAAATGCAACAAAATCCTGAGTTAATAACTCCCTTCTGGGCCCCTGATTGCAGCAAGAAAGGTGAGGTACTTTGGGGGTTCTCCATTCCTGTTCATCTCAGCCCCCAACCCAGTCAGGGCCCTAGGGCTATCCTACCAACTGACCCTGAGAGACGAGGCCTGCTCAGGGCCTCACCGCATCCCCAGAGAAGCTTTCCCCATCTCCTGGGGTGACAGCGGGGATGGGAGGCATCCAAGGTCCTTACAAGGAGAAGCCTCTTGACTGGACCAGGTTGGAGGGACCTGTAGGAAGTGTGTCCCCTGGACACCAGGCCACAGCCTCCTCCTTGCCTTGCAGCCTTTATTCTCACTGGCCCAGCATGCAGGCCTTCTTACAGGCCACCGCGGAGATCAAGGCCGCACCCCGGCCGCTGCCCTCCTCCGACTCGATGAAGGTGATTTCACAGCTGGGCGTCAGCCTGCGCACGCTGGCGTGGAACCGCTCCTTGAAGCTGAGCAGGGGGCAAGCGGGGCTGCGGTTAGTTAACGCGCTTAAGACAGGGCAGGGGGTAAGCCAAGGGGAACCTCCCCCTGAGTCTGTGGGCTTAGGGGAGCGAGGAGATTAAGAATCCTTGGGACCTCGGAGAGCATCCGTTTCGGCCTGCATATCATAGATGGAGACCGATGCCGGGGCTCTGCCCTTAAGAGGCGAATTCACAAGAGGGAGGCTGGACCCGGCGGGGAGGTGCAGACGACCGAGCGGGCCCACCTGGGGTGCAGCTTGTACACTGAGCCGTCCACGCCCACGGTGATGCGCATCACGTCCTCGCTGCGGCTCTCGCGCATGCGGTTGATGACGCCCGCCAGCCCCGCGGCGCACATGCGCGCGGCGCGGGTGGACACGCTCTCGCAGGCGCGGCGCACGATGTCGCAGTCGGTGGCCGACGGCCTCAGCCCCAGCGTGCTCAGGATGTTGTAGATCTGCTTGCGGTCGCCCGAGTCACTGCGGGGCGGGGACAGGAGGGCGTCGCGGGAGGGTCGCTTGGTCCCGGACCAGCCCGATCCCCACAGCGGCGGCTTCTTCTCCTCCCCCTGCCCACCTCTCCCAGGCAAAGCGCTTTTGGGGCTCGGGCTTCCGAGCGGAGCGGGTCTGACTCCGCCAGGGACCAGCAGTAATGTGGTCATTACTCCTCTCTCTAAACCCAGGGTTTCCGCCCTAACGTGGGTGACACTGCCGCGCCTCGGGGCTGTTGCGTGGATGAAGTGAGACGAGGTCCACAGCGGGTGGGGAAGCACAGAGAGGACGCCTGGTCTCCGTCAGCTGCCCGACGCCGGGTTCCCCTGGGGGGCTGAAGGCTACTACCGCCGCGGTTGCCCCATCCCGGAACCTTACCAAGTCCTGGGCTCCTGCCCCCTGACCTCACCGGGGCCCCGCCCCTGCGCTCTGAGCCCCGCCCGGGCCCCGCCCCCACGCCCCGTGGGTCTGGGTCCAGGACCCCTCCCCGCGCACGCCACCCCTGTACCCCACCCTTCGACCCCGCGCGCCCGCGCACCTCTCCACCTGAGACACGAAGCGTGTCTCGAAGGCGCCGCGCGTGCGCAGCTTCTCCGAGGCCTCCCCGTGGAAGAGTAGGTTCTCGTCCACAAGCTTCAGCAGCACGAGCCGCACCAGCTCGCCCATGTACTTGCCGCCGATGAGCTTCTCGTACCTGGAACAGAGAGCAGCCGGGTCACCCCCAGGAGGGAGGTCCCCACCATCAGGCAGAGGCCAGCCACCACCCCCTGTCACGGCCACGAGGAGGCCATGTGGGACGCTGTGACCACCCCCCGCCTTGGCAAAACCGGGTTCATGCCCGTTCGCACATTTATCAACAGAGGCTTTGGGGCCTTGGGAGAACGCTCTACTGTGGGGCCTCAGCTCAGTCCCTCTGAGGCCATCCTCAGGGAGGACCCTGCGCTGAGCCCACTTGGGTTTCCCCACAGCTGTGGAACGAGTGCTGTTCTTATCACCCAGTGTCAGCTGGGGGAGCTCAGGCTTAGAGCGGCCAGTGACCAGCCTTGGGCGGGCCTCTGCTCACTCGCTAGGGCTCCTAGGTCCCTGCGCTCCTGGAATCCACGGAGTTGGCCCGGTGGCGCCAGAGTCTGTAAACCTCCGTATTTTCATCTTGTAGCACACTGAATACTACCGACCTAGTAGAGGTTTATGAGAGCCCGAGAGGACACGTGCCTGGCGCGCCGCAGAAGGCGGCTGATAAAGGAGAGCCCTGACTCAGGACAAGCTCTGTGAGGGCTGGCTCTCCAGCTGTCCGCGAACCCGCAGCATACCCCAAAATACTATGATTCATTCTGTGAACGTGTTCAGAGCTGTCCTTTGGGGAACTCTGGGCTAAACCCAGTTAACGTTGCTGGGGGGCGTCTCAGAGCCTTCCTGTGCCAGGGGTCACCTGTCGGAAGCGGGGAGGTTCCTGCTCATCTATCCACAGACCCTCTTTTTTTTTTTTGGAGTCTTAGTTTGGCCACACTGCGCGGCATGTGGGATACGACCAGGGATGGAACCCACGCCCCCTGCAGTAGAAGCGCAGAGTCTTAACCACTGGGCCGCAAGCGAAGTCCCCATAGACCCTCTTTTTAAAGACTAATCCTTGGCATCTCTCACTGTTCCCGGTTCACAGAGGGGCACACGCGTACGAGCTGAAGGAAGAGAAGAGCCAGCTTACGAAGGGATTGTCAGTTTGCTTTTCCCCAGAGCTGTTTAAAAACAAGCCCATTATCTGCGGGCCGGCCCCATCTGCCGCCAGAGCGGGGCGGGGCCGTCGTGTGGGGAGGGGGAGGGGCGGTCCTTACAGCTGCTGGCCGGGGTTCAGGGAGTTCTCGTCCACCACACGGTCGTACTCCAGCAGGAACTCGTCCAGCTCGCCCGAGTCCCCGAAGGCACCCCACTCGGTGTTGACACACATGCGGCCCTCGTCCCCTTCCACCAGCTCCACGTTCTGCATCTCCTCCATGTAGCAGGCGTTGCAGCCCGTGCCTGCGAGAGGCCGCAGCGTCAGGCTGCACCTGGCGCTGCGCTTCCTGGGATGCCCGCTCTGCTAGGTGCATCCCCCCGGCAGGAAGCCCCGTGTGGTCCTGTCTTCCCAGCTTCCTTGAGCCCTCCACCCCCAGCACTTCCTACATCCCCTGGAGCAAAGGAAACCAGCTCTCCCAAGAGCTGGAAGACCTAGGTTTGCTGTGTGACCTCAGGTAGATAAGCCCAACTCCCTGGGCTCTTCCTCTTCCCCAAGAGGGGTTGGTAACACCTACTCCTATTACCTAGGTAGTTGAGAGAAATGAGGGAAAGAACATGTGTCAGAGTGCTTTGCCAATTAGAGATGGGTATGGGATGTTATGATTTTGTCATATCTATGCACCACCCTTGTGTTCTGGTACTTTCTAAGCATGTGTTTGAGCTCCTCTGTACCAGGCTCTGTTGTGGGGAGGAGGCGGGCACCCAGAGGTGAGTATGTCACAGCATGGGCCCTTGGGAGCAGCACACGGGCCATTGCAGGTGGGCCTGGCTAAGGAATTTGTAATTTGCAGGGTCCCATGCAAAGTGAAAACATGGGGTCCTTTGTTCATAAACTGAGAGTTTCAAAATGGTGACAGCAGAGCTTTAATCTGAACGTGACTGCACACCCCTCAAGCCATCAGGGACAGCAACTCAGTCATGCCAACCTCACACCAGCAGTGGAGCTGCCTGGAATTCAGGCCCAGTGATGCCGGGCCTTCCAAGTTTTTGTGGGGAAAAAACAGAAATCCAGACTTTGATATGGTTTCTCCCAATGTTTAGTGCTTGGTGATTATCATAAACATGTTTCTAAGCACATCAGGGCAGATGCGACCACGCGCCACTCTGCCATCTCTGCTCCAGATGGGGTGAGCCCGAGGCAAGCGGCTGTAGAGCCCAGGTGGTGGTGTCTTGGGGAACCGGAGAGAGCCAGGGGAGCACTGCCAGGGCCCCTGGAGCTCCTGTTTAGGTGTGGACTTAAAGAACTTTCCTATCAAACTCTTAGAGGAAAACATAGGCAGAACACTCTATGACATAAATCACTGCAAGATCCTTTTTGACCCACCTCCTAGAGAAATGGAAATAAAAACAAAAATAAACAAATGGGACCTAATGAAACTTCAAAGCTTTTGCACAGCAAAGGAAACCATAAGACGAAAAGACAACCCTCAGAATGGGAGAAAATATTTGCAAACGAAGCAACTGACAAAGGATTAATTTCTAAAATTTACAAGCAGCTCATGCAGCTCAATATCAAAAAAACAAACAACCCAATCCAAAAATGGGCAGAAGACTTAAATAGACATTTCTCCAAAGAAGATATACAGATTGCCAACAAACACATGAAAGAATGCTCAACATCATTAATCATTAGAGAAATGCAAATCAAAACTACAATGAGATATCATCTCACACCAGTCAGAATGGCCATCATCAAAAAATCTACAAACAATAAATGCTGGAGAGGGTGTGGAGAAAAGGGAACACTCCTGCACTGTTGATGGGAATGTAAATTGATACAGCCACTATGGAGAACAGTATGGAGGTTCCTTAAAAAACTACAAATAGAATTACCATATGACCCAGCAATCCCACTACTGGGCATCTACCCTGAGAAAACCAAAATTCAAAAAGAGTCACGTACCACAATGTTCATTACAGCTCTATTTACAATAGCCCGGAGATGGAAACAACCTAAGTGTCCATCATCGGATGAATGGATAAAGAAGATGTGGCACATATATACAATGGAATATTACTCAGCCATAAAAAGAAACAAAATTGAGTTATTTGTAGTGAGGTGGATGGACCTAGAGTCTGTCATACAGAGTGAAGTAAGTCAGAAAGAGAAAAACAAATACCGTATGCTAACACATATATATGGAATCTAAGGGGAAAAAATAGGTCATGAAGAACCTAGGGGCAAGATGGGAGTAAAGACAGACTTACTAGAGAATGGACTCGAGGATATGGGGAGGGGGAAGGGTAAGCTGGGACGGAGTGAGAGAGTGGCATGGACATATATACACTACCAAACGTAAAATAGCTAGCTAGTGGGAAGCAGCCACATAGCACAGGGAGATCAGCTCAGTGCTTTGTGACCACCTAGAGGTGTGGGATAGGGAGGGTGGGAGGGAGATGCAAGAGGAAGGGAATATGGGGATATATGTATAGCTGATTCACGTTGTTATAAAGCAGAAACTAACACACCATTGTAAAGCAATTATACTCCAATAACGATGTTAAAAAAAAAAAAAAAGAACTTCCCATCCAAAAGGTGAGAATGGAAGAAGGAGATGTGAGAAACTAGAGGAGAGGCAGAGAGCAGGTCGCCGGCCCCTTAGGCCATGTGCATGCAATTGGAGATGGGTCCTAAGAACACAGAAACCCTCAGGGCTGGCCCTGAAGAGGCCGAGGAAGCAAACAAATTTAATGCTGACTTTCTGGGAACCAGGGAAATACCCACTCGCCTGTGTGTCCAGTTAACACTCCTCAGTAAACACTCATTGTAAGGCCTTGGGAACTTCTGGGAAAGGCCCTTGGTTGGTGGGAAAGGGCCACTGGGGCCAGTGCTGCCTCCTTTCCTGGTACCTGCCTCCACTTCGAGCAGGGCAGACGGCTGCCCCGGGGTGTGGTAAGACTGTCCAGGGAGGGATGACACCACTCTGGTTTATGCTCTTCCACTTGGACAAATCTGTCCAGGTCGGTCAACTTACCAGATAAGGTGATTTAATTAAATCCCGATGGGCCAGGTGGACGTGAGCTGGTACACCATCTGAGGCAGTGACTTGTGAGTGTTGAAATGCTTCCTACCAATAAACAGCACCTGTTTATTGGTACACCCAATACCAATGTACATTGGTGTATTGTCTTCCGGGACACCCCTGCTGCTCCCTAAGACCCTGGGCTCCAGCACCTCTGGGGTCCATGACTGGCACAGAGGCCGTGTGCAGCCTGCTGAAGACGGGAAGCCTCGGCCCCGTCTTTGGTGGTGGCCAAGGCCCCTGGGTCAGCCAGGGGGCGCATCCTTACCTACAATCATGCCAACCTCACACCGGCGGTCTTCATAGTAGCAGGAGATCATCGTGGCCACAGTGTCGTTCACCATCGCCACCACGTCCATCTCAAAGTCCTGCCAAGAGGCATAGAGGTAGTGGTGATGGAGCTGGGGGGGTTCTCAGCCTGCTCCAGGCCAGTCCAGCCAGGCGCAGAAGGCAGAGACCCCTTCCTGGGGGGATGCCCAGAAAGCCCTCCCTGGCTTCCCCACAGGAGGGGAGGAGGAGGGGGCCCAGGGTAGGGGCAGGTGCAGATGCTACTCACCCCTCTCCGTTTGATGGCATCTCGCAGGAGCCCCACGATGTTGTTCCCTTCTGCTCCTGAGGCCTTGAAGCCCTTGGTCCAGTTGAGAAGGATGCCCTGGGGGGAGAGGGGGGCCTCAGTGGCTGCTGGATGCTGGGGGCAGGCGTGAAGGGACAGGAGCTAACTCGGACCACAGGGATGTGTACCCACTTTATAATTAACCTTTCTTTTAAATTAATTTATTCATTTTTATTTATTTATCCGGCTGCACCAGGTCTTGGTTGCAGCATGTGGAATCTTCGTTGCGGCATGCGGGATCCTTAGTTGCGGCATGCGGGATCCTTAGCTGCGGCATGCGAACTCTTAGTTTTGGCATGTGGGATCTAGTTCCCTGACCAGGGATTGAACCCAGGCCCCCTGCATTGGGAGCGCAGAGTCTTAGCCACTGGACCACCAGGGAAGTCCCTGTGCACCCACTTTAAAGCTGAGGAAACTGAGGCTCAAAGCAGCCGTATAAGTTCAAGAAGTGTTGGAGGTAATTTTCTACCAATATCTCATATTTCTGCAGGGCTGGGTCCCAGCCAATTTAAGAATGCTTGTGTAGTTAAGCCCAGGGTCGTCATCCCGGAGTGAGGATGAGGTCCAGAGGGGTGCAGCCAGAAGAAGATCGGGGCTCCTCTCCTGTGTGCACCCTCTGCGTGTGAAGGTCCCACCTGGCCCTCAGTGCCCAGCGGGGACTGGGGCTTGGAAAAGCAATGTGAGACGTTGCTCCTGCTACTGCTTCTGCCAGGAGTACTGACCTGGCTTTCTCTCTGACCCAGAGGCCCTGTGTGTTATGTATAACTGTGCATATGTTTGGACAATTTACACACACATGTATATATGTATGTATAATAAATGCGTGTGCGTGTGTATGTATCGTTGACCTGTGAATGTGTATATATGTATGACTGACATGCTCATATATGCATGCATGTATACTTGACGTGTAAATATGCATGCGTAATTTACACGTTTATATGTATGTACACTTGATATGTATAATTTACATGTATATATGTATGTATGATTGGCATGTGTAGGTATATATGAATATATAACTGGCCTGTGTATATATGTGTATGTATAATTTATGCATGCATAAAATATGCATGTACAATTTATGTGTTTATATGTACGTATAATCGACATGAGTGCATGCATGTGTGTAATTTAAATATGTGACGTGCATACATTTATGTGCACAATTCACATGTATAATTTATGTGCATACATACGTATAATTTACACGTCTATGTGAGCGTGCATAACTGGTGTGTGTGTGTAATTTACATGTACGTGTGTGTGTGCGTGTAACTGTGACAGGCTAACTTGCCAGCTGGAAGGCAGGGTAGACCCTCAGCCCCGGCACATTGCCACCTCTGCCACAGGCAGCGGTACAGCATAGAGGTGACACACAGGTGTGTTGGAGCCTGTTTGCCTGAGTTTGAGCCGCAGCACCGCCACTTCCCACCATGGGCAAGTTGCTACACCTCACTTTCCTAACCTGTAATGGGGGTGATACGCACGCCTCATAGGGTTGTGGGAGGCAAACAGTAAGAATCAGCTAATACGATCATTTCCCAGAGTCTCACGAGAGGTAAGTGATGGAGGCAGTTTGAATCCAAGGCTCTTTCCCAACAATGGGAGCTGCATTTGAAGGCAGCGCAGGGCAGAGTTCACGGGTGCCTTTCTCTGGGGTGTCTGTCCGTCCATCCGCCCACCTCCCCCCACCCACGCTACACCTGGTCCCACCTTGTCGATGTCTTCGTGCCTCACAGGAAAGGAGAAGGTGAAGCCCAAGGGCAGCTTCTTGTGCTTCATCTGATGCTTGTCCAGGAAGTCGGAGATGCACTCAGAGATGTAGTCAAAGAGCTGCAGGATGCACACCGAGGAGGCCATCAGCGGCAGCGGCGAGCCTCCTGCCGAGGCGCTCCTCAGCCCTTGCTGAGCCATAGGGCCCCAGGAGAGCGTGGCCTCCGCACTGCTTGTCGGGACTCAGGCCCTGAGCCCCGCTCCATGCCACAGTCCCGCTGACAGCAGCCCTCGGGACAGGGCAACGCCAGGACGACGGGGTTGGTCCCTAGCCCAGCTGTGCTCTGTTAGCCTGGCCCTCCCGGCTGGACCCAGTGGAGTCCAGTCTCAGGCTTTGGACAGAGGCACATCCCTGGCGATAACTACGATTTCTGACTCCAGCATAGAGTATGCTTTGTTGCCTCCAAGTGTTCAGGCCACCCCAGCCCTGGGCCTGCGAGGACCAGCTGCCACCCCATTCACAAAGGCCTATCCACAGACCTGGGCGTTAAAGAGTGCCCTGCTGATTGACCGAGCTCCCTGGTGGGCGCCAGCGTTGCTCCACGCCCAGACCCACGGCATGCGGGGCTGCGGCAAGGACCAGGCGGCCGCTGGCCTCCTACCTTGAAGCCCTGCCCCTCGCGGGGATTGGCTCTGGCTGCTCCCCACCTCCGCCCAGGGCTCATCCTACTTCTGTGGTCCTTCCCGAGTCCTCCCCGTGGTCAGATATTAGCATTGCAGTCATGCCACTTGGCATCCACGCTGGTGGAGGGTGAGGGCGACATGTGGGGTAGAGATAGAACGATGGGCTGCGAGCCTGTTGGACCAGCGTGTTCTCTTGGCTGCCCTGCCTTGTTCCAGATCCTTCTGGGAAACTGGGCAGGGGTGCAACCTTCCGGGGCCGTACCCAGTGGCCATCCACCTAAGCCTCTCAGCTCCCTCCTCCTCCTGCAGCAGGGTCCCCTGAGGCTGGGCCCACAGCTCCGCCCGCCCCTGGTGGACAGGTGGGCCCTCCCACCAGGACTAGCCATGCTCCGAGATCCTGGGTGGTCCTGACCGAGGTCTCTGGCCCCCCAAGCCCTAGCCCGAGCTGCTCACCATCTCAGCAGTGCCCGTCATGGCGTCCTCGGGGATGGAGTACATCTGGTGCTTGGTTTTCACACTCCACTGTCCCTCCTCCCCTTCCCCCACCTTCACAAGCATCACCCTGAAGTTGGTGCCGCCCAGGTCCAGGGAGAGGAAGTCCCCGACTTCTGCAGCCACAGAGAGAAGCACATCAGTCTCATGGGCACCGCTGGGCAGGAGCCCCCAAGACTGGGAGAGGAGGAGGGGAAGGCATGGTGGGGGGACCAGAAGAGCTGGACGAGGGGCCCCCGATGCCAGACATCTGGGGGACCCCAGGATAAACTGTGGAAAGGGCAAAGGCGAACTGGGGAAGGCAGCAGGAATCCCTTGTCTTGGGCTGAAGTTGCCCCCAGCCCAGGGCCCACCTGAAGACCTAGAAAAATGGCCCAGACTCAGGATTGGGCTGGGAGTCCCCCGAATGACTGTGGGAAGCCAGTTTCTCATTGTGAGATGAAGAGAGCCAGTTTCCTGAGGCCAGAGTGAGCCTGAAGGCCCCAGGACTGGGCCAGCGGAGCAGAGGGTGAGACCTGGCTGGTGTCTGGGGCACAGCATTTTGGGGAGCTGACTCGGGGCTGCTGGGGACAGTCAGGGCTGTTAGGAAGGGCCTGGGGCACTTCTCCCTGCTGGGGCCAGGGGAGAGCCACCTCTGGATGAGGACCTGATGGTTCCCATGTGAGTCCCATCCCTGCCCCACCCTGGACCGCTGTACCTGAGCCTTCCGGGGTAGAGCGCACGTAGGTGGGCAGCATCTTCACACTGGCCTCCTCGTGTGTCTCCAGCCTCAGGCCTCGGTCCATCTCCTTCTGCATCCGCCTCATCACCTTCTTCAAGTCCTCCTCCTGCAGCTGGAACTCCGCCAGGATCTGTTCCACCTGCACAGGGAGGGAGATGGGGAACAGCTGGGCGGACGAGGGGCTGTGCAGTATGGGGAAGGGGGACCACAGAGTGTGTGTTTCCCCCACACACCGACGGTCTCCTTTTGCCTCCTGACCCTGGGTCCAGGATGGCCCATCATTTCAAACTACCACAGTTACAACCAGTTGAAAAATGAAGACAGCAAGTTCCAACGCCAGTTTCCAAACAAATGCAGCTTGGGGCGTGTTGGAGGGTGAGGGGCAGAGGGCAGACATGGCACCTCCCTTTGTACCCCTGATCCAGGGGAGGAGGGAGGCGCTAACCAGGAGAGTGAGTGAGACACGGGCTGGAGGAGCCCGCCTGGAGGGCGATGGGCAGCTGGCGTTACTGTCTAAAAGATCTGGTCATTATAGCTCTAGGAATCTATGCTAAGGGAGTTAGTGGGCCAGTGCGTACACATGTTCATAAGTGATGGTCAAGACACACTACTTAGAGGTGAAAGTTAGTTAGAGGTGTCTGGTGGACTAAAGCATGGCAGTCCATAGCCTGGAAGGCGCTGAGGCCCTCAGAGGGAGGAGAGGTCCCTATACATTGACAGGAGGGAGGCTGGTACACAAAGCTCAGATTCAATACCACCATTCCCGTGAGTGTGGACGGCCTGGGTTGGGTTCTCCTCCTGCACCCTCTAGGGGAGTGGCCGCTTGCTCATCCCTTCATGGTGGCATGACATTGGGCTTAAACACCGTGCCCATGCCCACTAGTGCCCCGGAAGCAGGGACCCGGCTCTGACCTTGCGTGTGGACCGTGGTGTGGCTGCCCTTTCCCTTTTGCACAACAGCACGTGTTCATGGAGAGAAGACCACTTTGATTCCCTACATATTTGGACCAACAAGGAAAGGGAGGCTACTCGAATAAAAGCCGTGCGTCCACTCTTCAAAAAACTCCTACTCTCTCGCTGGTAGTTTTCCATGTAAGCTCGGGGGGTGGAGATGCTCTGAATTCCAATCAGGAGACAACAGAGCTGCTTGCCCCTTCTTCCTCAGTTTTTAGAGCCCACATTTTGTTGGGGGCCTGGGGAGCTATCACATCAAAGGAAGACAGCCCCTTCCGAGGCGCAGGGGACAGCCCGTGACTGGGCTAAGCCAAGCCCAGCTATCTTATCCCCTTTTGCTGGTGACTTGGTTTAGAGATGGGCATGTGGCCCAGTTCTGGCCAGTGTCAGGTGAAGGGAAGCCTGATTTTAGCAGGAGGGGGGCCTTCTGGGAAGGTCAGTGCGCCTCTTAACTTTGTGAACATAGCTGTATGAGGGTGTGTTGACAGGCACTGCAGCAGCTATCCTGAACCACGAGGAGACAAGGCTGAAGAGAAAAGGCTGTTAGCATATTATAGATGGCAGAGAAGAGAGACAGAGTGAGCCCAGCCCTGATGACATCACTGATGTGCTGAGCCAACCCTGGACCCAGCCACCTCCAAGTGCCGGTTGTGGGAATAGATACTAATCACTTAAGGCCACAGTCAGTCAGGTCTTTAGTTTCCTGCAGCCCAAAGCATTCCTAATGCATACAGATCCTTACTTAGGAGCGAATTCTCTTACCAAGACCTCACACTTAGAATTTAAACCCAGGGAAGGTCACAAAGGGATGGGGCTGACAAAGTCTACGACAAGACACACAGAGTCAAACACCAGTATTTGCTAAGCCATTCTGCAGCTCTGGGGTGAGCTACAGCCCCAGATGGGGTGAGGGTGCAGCCCACCCCAAGGCCGTCCTGGCAGGACATACCCCCAGAGATGCCCTCACGCTCTGTGAAACAATCCAGGCTGTCCTCAGAGACCCATGCCTACAGCCTGGCCTCGTCTCTGTTTCTTTCACACACTTTCAAGTAAAATGCGCCAGGAAGGAACAGTAACATTAACATTCGCTGAATCCCTCCAATACGCCAGGCTCTGAGGTGAGTGCACTACACAAGCTGCCTTTCTTTCATCCTTGGCACAGCTCGGGGGCGGGGCTGGCATCCACTCATCTTCTAGATGCAGCCACTTGCAGCCAGCACACAGAGCGAGGCCAGCACCCAAAGCCATGCACTCAAGGGCCGCTGCCAGAAGTCCTCAAGAGGCTGCCCGGCATCTCTCCCAAAACAGAACTGTAAGACATCACGGCTCTTAACAAAAGCGATGCTGATCCTGCAGAGGTCCAGCCCGCAGGCCCCACTGGGCTCCATCCCCTCCCTCTCCGTCATGGCAGCCCAGCCAGCGGCCTCGAGCCTGGACTCATGAGGGGCTGTGACCCAATGGCTTCACCCTCTGTGTCCAGGCCCATGTGGGCAGAGTTTGGGAAGGGTGCTGGAAGGTTCCGTGGCTGCAGTCCAACACTCCAGGCGGCCACAGGCTCACACGGGCCTCCAGAAACCCTCCCCTGTGGCCGTGGGGAGCGTCCTCCATGGTGGGTGCGAGCCCCTTTCTCGGGTGCATTGGGGCCTGCAGACACCACAGTTAGCCTGCAACCCTGAGAGGAGGCACTCCGACCTTACCCCCAAGGCTGCATGTCTAGGCGGACGCCAGTTGGGTTCAAGTCACGGGGCAGAGGCCTGCCTCACAGACCCTGTGGCAACATCCACAGAAGCAGGCACTGTGCACCAGGCCCCGTTTGGGCATCCCCAGTTCTCCCTTACGCTTAATCCCCCTGGAACCCAAGCATTTTATTATCTCCACTTCCTTTCCAAGGCCACAGATCTAGATGCTCAGAGCTGGCTTTGAACCCAGGTGCTGGCTCTGAGCCCACCTCCCCTCCCTACCCCGCTGGGCTGCCCAGCCCTTCCCTGAGCGCAGGCTGGGTGTCCGTGCAAGCTGGCTTAAAGGTCTTGCCGAGCAGCGTAGGAACTGCGGGGTGCTGCTTGAGGAACCCCAAGAAGCCACCTGTCCCCCCCAGGTCACAGAAGAACAAAGCACAGACAGAGCCTGTCCCCCCAGCCCTGCCCCCATAGCTGCACCCCTGCCTGCTCACCAGGAGGTCACAGGACACAGCATCAGGGCTCACGGTTGCACCCAAACATGGTGGGAGGGGGTCTCCTCCCTGAGCAACTCTCTTACTCTCCAGGCAGGGCCATTGCCACCATCTGACAGTGCCACAGCCCCCCAGGACTCCGGCTTCTGGTGCCCCGGCCCGGGGCTTTGCAGGAGAAGAGCCAGACTGCCCAGTGCCCTCTGGCTCTCCGGGGTCCTCCCATCCTGGCTCTCCTGGGATTCTCCAGGAGGGTCTGAAGCTGGCAGGTTGGGGACACACTTCCCCAGGAGTATGCGGCAACTAGCCCAGGGTCACCCACTGTGTGTACACAGCCATCCCATGGCTGCAGCTGGACCCACGCAGGGCTCATACTGCCCTCCAGGACACTGGGATGGGTTCTGGAGCCCACAGGGCACCCAGCGTTTGCCCAGGGGCCCCATGCCTTGGCCCTCTGGGGCCCATCCACTGCTGTGCAGGTGTGGGAAGCCCTCTCAGACCTTTCCCTGTCTCCTCATCTGTCAAATACAAGCCCCACAGGATGTCCTGCCATCTTTCCCGAGCCCTTGGGGCAGGGTCCCAAAACACTGACTGTGGCATAAATGGGGCAGGTGTCCCCAGCCGAGCCCCACCAGCCCCCGTCATCCCTGCCCAACCAGCTTGGCCCCTCCTACTTTGCTTCCAACCTGTACAGCCCATGGCCTTGTCCAGACCCGTGTCCTTAAGGACTGTCCTCATACTGATGGCTGAGCGCTAGGAGGGGACGTTCTGCAGACTGAGAAGGGGTGGGTTGGGCTGGGGAAATCCGCCTGGTCTCTGCAGGCACGTTGGCGTGTCTGTTAGCCAAGGGGAGATGGATGCCAAGTAGCAGTTGAATAGTGAGGCCAGAGCACAGGGGACAGCCTAGCACTGTCAGCCCCAGGAACAAGTCCCGTAGAAGACACCGTCCCTGGAGACCCCTCCTGGAGAGGCTGGACAGTGGGTATCGGAAGGGACCAGCTGCCTCTTAGCCTCCGCACCTCTGCGCCTCCTTCCAAGGGGTCCAGAGCTCCCCGTAACCTCCACTCTACCAAACCACTTGCCCTACCCACACAGGAAGAACCTGCCCCAGCCGTGGCCCTGGGGACCACTTGCCCTGGCTTTGGGGCGACCCTTACCAGATTCAAAGCTGTCTGGACCCAGCTCCTTGTGGCCTCCATCGCCATCTCTCTGAGGCGCCAAAAGGTAGGTTTGTGGGGAGGTAGAGACACTCCTGTCTGCGGAGGCGCAGGGCTGGGCTGCAGGCCGGGAGTCTGAGGCCCACCCGTGCAGGCGCGGGCCGCCTAGCCGGGGAGTTGCCTGCGCAGGCCGCCCAGGGCTTCTGCAGAGAGCATTCAGCAGCTGGCTGTTGAAAGACTCAGCCTACCGCCACAGGGTCAGACAGGGCCAAAAGGGCAGACGAGGCCTGCCTGGAGTGAGGGGTGATAAGGGCCACGAGGGGAGGGCTGTGGGGTGGTGCCCCATGCCTTCAGCCCACCAGGGTGGGGATTCATTGCCCAGAGTTTCTGCGGAGGGGGCAGAACCGTTCTATATGCACTCCAGTCCTTGGATGTGCCAGGGCGGCAGTCATCACGCTGCTCAGGTCAGGAAAGCACGTTGCAGAGCCGGGCAGACAGGGCGGGGCTGCTGAGGGGCTGGCCCCATGCAGGTCGAAGGGTCTGGGCTTGGTCTTGGACCACGGGGATCCCTGGCTAATTTTCACCTGGGGCCTGTCCTGTACTTGGGAGGGGAGACAGGCTGCTGGCTGGGAGGCCAGGCCTGAGGCCCTGAGCAAGGCAGGCTCCTCGTGAAGCAGGGCTGCAGAGGGCAGGGACCTCCTGGGCCGCTCCTCTCCTGAGCCCTCAGAGCCCTGCCGTGTGGCCAGTCAGGATCGGTTGGCAGGATTGGTTAAGGGGGGGGGGTTTGCACGAAAGACCTCGGTTGGGTCATTGAGAGCCAGGCTCAGGCCCTGGGCAGAGGCAGGACTGGAGGGTGGGGGT